GCGCATGGAACTAATTCGAAGGAAATATTGCCAAATGTACGCACAAAAACCAATTCGCCCCAATAAATATTTTGCAATAATAAAATTTGCCCAAATGCCAAACGTGTGATTCGTGTATTCACATTTGTTGCTGTTTTTGTTGTTACCAAACGTGTGAGGCGCATTAAGTTAATTCATAAAATTTATTTATTAGCCCATTCTAACAAATTACGCAAATAAAGTCAAATGCCCAGCCGCGCAGCTTGAGAAAAGGTGTTTGTGTGTTTTTTTGCTGTTCACTTTTTTACGTTTTGTGGGAACTCGTTTCGATTAACATGTATGCGAGCTGAGCTGCTTTTTTATATTTTATTTAATATAACTTCAAGTTACTCAAATTGTTTGCAATAAATTCATCGAAATTCTTTGTTTTCAATTCGCTTGTTGATTCATGCTCTATGAGCACAGTTGCTGTTTTGACCCATGCTTAATTGAATAACAAGTGAATGTTTTGTTACGTGGCTCGACTATCTGATACCCTGTACAAGCACCACATAGTATTTCTACACGTTTGAGTTCCTTTTTAACGTTGGCTCTACTGAAAAATTCGTTTTTTTTTTTTTGTAAAATTAACTACAAATCTAAGTAGCTGAAAATTGTGATTTTAAGAAATGATAAAGTGCTGTGGAATACTATCATGTATGCTATTTAAATACTTGACTATTCAAAAAATCTAAGAATCTAAGCGTCTAGCTAACAGATGCTTGATTGAAATCAGCTTTGCTTAACATTGGCAAAGACCACAACAAAATTTAAAGTATAAATTAAATATATCTTGTATAAATAAGTATAAGCAAAGAAACAAGTTGAACGCTGTAAAGAAGCTCTTGTAATACAAATTTACGTAACTTGTTTATGCCAGTCTTATGACTGGATGATATAAGCATGTATATTTTTAGATATATATAAATATATATATATATATATATCCCGATTCAAGCACGCACCCAGCTGCACTAAACGCAAATTGGTGTCATGCATGTCAAACGTAATAAAGCGTGCCCATGATTAGCATTGGATGAAGTGCGCAATTCCGCATGGAGCTTATAGAATGCCAAAGTACAGGCCTTTTACATGGGCAAATTAGCGGCACGCTTCGATCTGGCAATTAATAAAAATTACATCAAGTTGCACACAAAAGTTATAAATACAAATCAATTTTAGCGACACACACACACAGAAGCTAAGTGAGGCTAGTACAATCTATATGGAAGATTAGGTAAAAGCCCAGTCATACTGTTACGAGAAACAATAGATTTATAAATACAAACAAAAAAAAAACAATAACAATTTTTAAAATTGTCGTTAGATTTTGTTTTTAGATTTCTTACTACGTTCCGCACATTAAACAGCTTAAATATCGCCACACGAGATGTCGCTTGTTGGCAATTTATTGCCCACAAATTGTTGGTGCAGTTGCAATGCATTTTCATTCGGGGACCCACAGACCCAGTAGCCAAGCTACACAAGTTACGCTGTCTCTTCCTCCCCGCCGAATAATTTTTAGGCAATGAATGAATGCTACACGCAACACATATAACTAAGGAGCAGCTATCCCACTTGTGTGTGGAGAGAGGGGCCTCCTTTCCGTATTGGTTATATGACTCTCAGGTATGCCAGCTCCTCGTTAAGCCAAGCACTTGGGCGTGCAGTGCAGTAGCCATAAAACTAAAGTCACAAATACTTTATTTCATTACAGTTCCAAATCTGGCAGCTTTATAGTAAGTTTCGTTAATTCTAGTTTCTAGTACTTTTCCAAGATTTGGCTAATATAAAAATGTTAAAATATATATAGCGTAAATTCCGCTCATTATACTCGCTAATAATTCATTGGCTTATGATTGAACGAACGAAATAAAAAATACAAATTCAAATTAATTATTACAAATTAACACAAAAAACTTGGCGCACGCGTCCAGTGAATAAACATAAAATAAACAATCAGCAGAACAACAAAATTCACAAACTTATCACCTGAAGCGGTTGTGCGGCTTTTGCTATTTGCTGGCCAATCAAACGAAACGTGCCAAGCGCAGATCCAGATACAAAGGCAGACACAGATACAGATACAAATATACATATACATATACATATACATATACATATACATATACATATACATATACATATACATATACATATACATATACATATACATATACATATACATATACATATACATATACATATACATATACATATACATATACATATACATATACATATACATATACATATACATATACATATACAGATACATTTACAGATACAGATACAGATACGAATAAAGATATAGGCAATGTCTACATTTTATGCTGACGCACATTTGACGCAAATGTCGTGGCTTTTCATTAGAATTTTGAGCTGCCCCCTGCCTCGGCGACCTCTAGATAATTAACAAAGATTGCCAGCTACCGCAGCTGCCAAACAGCTTAGCGAATTCATAATTGCTGCTCCCCGGCGCTATTTGGACTTTTTCTTAGGCCAGCTAGACAGGTCCGAAGTTTGGAGCTTGGGCTTGTGCCAAAACAATTTACAGATCTTTAACTCGGCTCATGTCTCAGCCCGCTTCGGAGTGGTCAGCTCGCTGCCCGTATTCACTTTTACTACAAGAATTTGGACAGTAACTCTCACTGTGCTCAAAATGACATGTCATGTGGATTCAACTACGTGCCCCAGCCAGGTGAAACCGTAACCATGTCCAAGACAATTTCAAATGACATGCTGTGTTCCAGCTCTGAAGCCAAGTGAAATTTAGAACTCTTAACTTTTTCTTAGACATAAACAACAGTTTATCATTATAAGAGTCTAAGACCGATTGCAATTCGTTTTCATTGACCCAAAATGAGAGCATATTATTTATAAACATCATGCTTAAATAAAAACACAAAAAGTCTCCCATCTTTACTTAATCTAACATTGAGATTGGCAAACATTTTCGTCATCAAATCAGCAACAAGCAACACATTTGCATTTATGTTTAGCCATAAATTTCGACTTTAATTGAAAAAGTTTGCGTCATAAACCAAAAATGGAGCCAAAGGCTAGTCAACCAGTTGTTGCTTTATATTTCATCTCTGACAGCTGACGACATTTTGTAATTTATGCAGCAAAAAGAGTTATGGAAAGCTTTGGCTAAATGATGAAGTTGTTTGTCAATTTGTGAATTCTATTGTTCCAGCCAGGTTCAAAGTTCAGCGTTATAAATATAAACATTATATAATATTCGAGTGTTGTTACTGAAATAATTAAACAGTTTGACTGAAACTGCGATGATGGATACTTAACGAGAAGTAAAGTATATTGATTATAATCTGTAATTGCCATTAATTGAAAGGGTGAAAGGGAGTTCTTGAGCTGTGAAGTGAACCAATCACATAATTTTGGCCAAAAAACATCTACAGAATCATCTTTTGTGATAATCCTCATCTTTCATCAACATCAACATCAACAACCTGCAAAGTTGATTCGATTATCACCTTTAATAATGAAAGAACATGTGATGAAGGCCAAATGAGCACACATCGTTGCTCATTAGAAGAGGAAAGTGTATAATAATGATAACAAAAACATTATATAGCGAAAAACAATAGCAATTATTTGCAATGCATGTGCAAGTTTAAGCTATTGTTCAATTTCCGCTTTTTGGTTGACATCAGTTAATCGCTCTCAATGATGCGAAATGCCTGTTTGAGTTGTGCAATAATTTCAGCGTGTGCTTTGAGCTAAAGATTCATCGATGGGACTCAGTCGGGCAAATCATTTGATACTCGCATGCTGCCGCCGACCTCAAATGCTAAAAACAAAACATGCATTAATATTAAAGTCGAACTCGCAAATTACCACAAATTATATTTAACTATGTATATATATTTTTCAACTGGCTCGACTGAAGTTAACGATTTGCATAAGTTCGAACTGAAAAGCGACAAGCGCCACTTAAAAACCTGTGTATAGCTGGCTTTCGACCTCATTTGCCGTGGCTGAGCGATTTAGCCATATCGTCGCAAAAAAAATAACGAAAACCAGTTAAAGGTTGGGGCCAGCGCAGAGTGGGCCAAACACTTTTAGCCAGCATGTGTGTGCAGCAATTAGCTGCATGGACCCAACGGAATCGCAGGCTGCAATTAAAACGCACCAGCTCAGCCGAAAGCTCTAACTAAATGCCGCTTAGCAGTTAAAACTGTTGACCCAGCCGACAAACAACAGTTGTGCGCGCTGGCACTGGAACAGGTGCTGACACCTAATGACGCCCTATGGGAATATTGCACGCTGATCGCCGCTCATTATATAAGAAATAGGCCCCCATCTCTGTGCCGGCTGCTGACCCACATTTAATATTCTAAATGTTGCACAGCTTTGCGTGCCTCTAACGCTAATAGCCCAAGAATTACGAATGGAGTGTGTGTGAGTGGTACCGTTACGCTGAATTCGTCCAAGCAACTAAAAGTTTGAGCTGTGTTTTTGCTCAGCACCTTGAGCTATTCATACATTACTCATTGCACATCCAGAGAATGGTAACTAGCCGAAGCCGAAATGCCCTTGCAAGTGCAGCTAGACTACGGCTTCGTTTTCGATGTTTTGTAATTGTGGAAACTATAAAATAATAAAGTTCTCTAGAACTATATAATAGAACAAAAACTCGATAAGACTTTACTGAACTAAATGTTTGCTGGGCTTGCCAGATGTTGGATAAACAATTGAGTTGTACGTAAGAGAACGTTTTCCACCCATTTAATGGCGTCAGCTATATCATAGAGATATAAATTCCAGATATGAACTGTTTGCTAAACATTGACGTATTTTGCATATAACTCCAGTGACGACAGCGAAAGCTGGGAAGCTTTATCTAAGTACAAAGATCAAGAATGCATATAGAAAGTCTGTTTTATGTCTCTCAACAAAATATAAAATGTTTATAAAATAAATCGTAAAAATATCATAAAATATAATTAAATAATTACCAGGCAAATGGTTGTTGCGGCTGTTGTTGCGTGTCTGCAAAGTAAACAAAAGAAAAATAATATTAAAATATTTGTGTTCGTATTTGTATTTGATGAGCTCTGCGCTCTTTAACATCGATGAAAACATGAATTTTTTGCATTATTTTGATAATGAAAATGTTTCACACGCGTCTTAAATATACTAAATGTTCGAATTAATGCTGCGGGCCGCTTTCTCAAAATAGAAAATGAAAATATATTCATGTGAGATATGTGTGTCTATAATATCTGCAATTATGTGAAGATTTATGGTAAATGAAAACAAACAACGGCCACAGCACAGCTTGAAGTTTGAAGTTTGAAATCAGAAATCAGAAATCAAATAAAACGAAGACTTCATCGAAAGCAATCAGCTGTGAGCAATTGAATTACTCCGCTGGCAGATGCGTCACAGCATCCGAGCCTCTTGGCGAGCCACACAGATACAACATATATGTAGGTTGATTCTTCTTTTTATTTATTTTGTCGCTTTTTTTGCTGCCTGACCATCGAGGCGTCGCATGAATCAAGCAATTGTTCGAGCTTTTATTGCTGCTCGCAGAAGAGATACAAATTCGTAACACACTCGAGATACATTCTCGGAAGTATTTTTATGTTGTGGGCTTGGTAATTGGCTGGGCCAACAGCCGAAAAAACGGGTTAGTAGTCGACCCAACTGAGTGTCAATGGCTGCGCTTAAGCTGCGGCCTCTCATGCAAAGCGCATATCTGTCAGATATATAAATGGGCCCCAGTAAACTTGACTAATTGTTTGCGCCGTGGCCGTGTCGGCTGCTGCGGTATTTTGGCCAATATATTTACACGCAACAGCCAGTCAGTCAGCCAGCCAGCCAGCCAGCTCTAAAAGTCATTTTGGAAAGTTCTGGGTCTGACCTTATTTCCCAGCACAACACCCATCGCACTTTAAGCTTTATTCGGAGCAGGCGACGATAAGGCAGACGACGATGACGACGACGCTTGGTAAATAAAGCAAAGTGTGGCTAATAAGGCACCAGCAGAACAAAACAAAAAAGAAAAAACAGCAGCAGAAACAACAGCATTGTGATACCGCACTTTGCCACTCTCTCAACAATTGTGTAAACAACAGAAAAAACAGCAAACTAAATAACAAAAATAAAAATAAAATCATCCCAAAGGTACTTTCCGCACAGTTAGTCAGCCAGTCTATACAGTAGTTACTTAGTATAGTGCGCCATAACATTCAGTTTAATATGCATATGTTTTATGCACTCTACGGAGACTAATCCAGCGCTGCTGTCTGAGTGCTCGCGATCATTAATTTAATAAACAATCAATGTTGATGCTAATTCGAAATATAATTCATGTGCCATTTGTCGGTAGGGGAGGTCAAGATGGCCAGTAAAACATATTGAAGCCGACTCAGTCTGGGCTACAGAAGAGTCGATATAGTACAAATACCAAATTTCAATGTCGAGCTGCAATACCAAAAGACGGAAAGACCACATGTGCTGTGTGTGACAACAAATATACTTTTCCCACTATGTGAACGTGCGTAGAAATGCTCATACTAATCTTTAAAACACCTTTGAAACCTTTTGAACAAGGATAACGGAAGGGAATGTGGAAATCCCATTCAAAACTCAGTCTAAAGGCACTTAAGGGCATGTTACTTGGCAAGGTATTTACGATTCAATACAAAAGAGCAAAACAGGTATTCAACTACTTTTTGGTTTTAATTTCAATTCTAAATAATATTATTCCTTTGAAGTGTGCCACAGACAGTATGGAAAAGATGATTTAAAAATAAATATTATTCAATTTGTGTGGGGCTTTTGTTAAAGCAGATGGGTGCGACGCTCAACGATTGTAGTGCTCGAGGCAGAAGGCGAATCATCGCTATTTATGCATAATTTTGGAATACTCGTGAGTGCATTGATTCACGAAACTCACTCATAAAACATGTTATGAACATAAAAGCTCAATCAAGTTTATTAGCATATCTTGTAAGCATTCTTTTCAAAGATGACGAACTTTTGACAAATTCATATGACGAATAGTGGATACACTAGCAGGAGCTTATGATGAATAGATTTTTGACAAGTTAAGTTCAGCATAAAGAAGGAAATACACAAGTTCCATCATTGATATATTATGGTATTGAAGGGTTTCATTAAAACACATCGAAATTTTACCCAAGTGTAAATACCCTCTCTGCAGAGTACAGGAAAGCATACAAAGAATTTCATTCACTCTGAGTATTTAGCGTAGGCTGTACCTGTAGCTACTTACATTTGTATCTGTGGCTATATGCATGTCTGTATATGTATCTGTATCTGTTTGTGTATCTACGCATAACTAGCAGCTGGCTGACTGCTCCAGCAAATGCTTCGTTGATAATTTATATGTGTCGTCCGGCCCCCACAATCAAGTTACCAACTCGCCTTTGTTTCTACGCGCATTTTTATAGATAAACTGGGAACTGGGAACTGGCAACTGTGAGCTGGGAACACCACCAGCAAAGAGCAGTCAATTCAGTACGCTTTATTTCCGTTCATGTTGCCCACATCTTTTGATTTTTGGTTTAGACCCAGGTTCGGTCTGTGTCTGCATGCTCTGGCTTTAGAGGCCACCTCACAACCTTACATATGTAATTGCAATTGCTGAGCGACTCACGACGCGACTTCAAGTCGCGCACCTTTTAATTTGTGCGGCATTCCGTACCGATCCCCTCTGCAGCGCCTTATTTTAATGTTGTGAAAAGTTCTAAGACCCCGACGTGAGCGCAACGGAAGTGCGTTCATTATTTTTAATGATTTTATTTAAGGAGCCACCGCAGAGCGAGTCCAACGAGCCTCGACTAACTGCCTGCTACTACCTGCTGCACTGCATGTCCCAAGTTTCCTTGCCCGCCGCCTTTCAATAGTTTTCCCAGGACAGGACAACATTTGCACGCAAGCGGTTTATCCAGATGCTCAGTTTTGCTTTTAGCTCTACATGTGGTGGGTTTTTCGTTTTCGGTTTTGTTATTCTTAGTGGACAGGGAAGTGCGCTGCTGTAATTCCCAGGGACCTCTCAAATTCCGCATCAGCCCCGGAGGCAATTAGTGAGTGCGAGTCATCCATCCATCGATGACTGCTAGCCATTTATGCAAAGTATTTCACAGATAAGAATGGGTACTCAGACTCGATTTGGACGTAAACAAAGCAGCTGATGACTGCAAACAGATTAAATATTTGTAGACTTATGACTTCATTGATCCAACAAATTGACGTGACCTCAGGTAGCTAGAATTGCGGCTTATCTTCAGCTAAGGCTCCCTCTATCCCCTCTCTCTCTCTCTCTGTTGACCTAGCCATGCCCCTTGTTCAATTGGAAGCCCTTAAGCCACGCTGCACATTGACTTCTCTATAATTAAAAGCTGTGTACCTACTGCAACTGCATATTGGCAATTAGCAGCGACTTGCGAGACTTGAGCTAATTTTAATAATTGAATGCAATGGAAAAGTCTACAAGTTGACGGGCTCTACGGAACTGCGCCATGGCTACGTACGTAAATTCATATGTGAATTATATTTATGCATATTTGCGGCATCGCACATTGACATTCAGTCCGACTGTCAGTCAACTTTGACCGCAGCAAATGCATAAGCCGGATAACAATTGTTGAGTTCAACGCGATGCGCTTGAACGTCCCTGACTGGCAAGTGCCCAATTGTGGTGCTCGGTGGGGTTGGGTGGGGCCATATGCTGGGCTGGGCTGAGCTGCCAAGCCACTCACAATTATAAACACAAACAAAACAACAGAGCTACAAAACGTTGCATGACAAGACAACAGCAACAGCAACAGCAACAACAACAACAATTGACAGTTGCATGTTTGCAGTTTCATTTCTTGAGATTTTTTTATAATTCCGCTGACGTTTGACTCACGATATTGCCCAGAGCGCGCTTTAGAGAGCTCGGCATCTGTATGAAGAGATCAGCTACTGGGACTTGATTGTTATGCATCGATTTACATATACAGAAAGCAGCAACTCAAGCTGATAGATGGATAGACAAAAGTCATTCAGTCAGCGATCATCATCAGCATCATTATCATCGTCATCATCATGTTGTTGCTTCTTCATTTGAATCAATTAAACCTGATGCTGGGTGTGTGTGTGTGTGTGCGAGTCAAGCCATACTCATAATCGTATTCATACTAGTTTTCGTTTTTGTTTTTGATTCCCCAGCTACTGCTGCAGTTGATTGATCATTGACTGTATGCCGCGCCTAAAGTCACAAAATTCCATGAATTTTATTATAAAATCAGCTTTTCATAAAGGTCTGTCCCCCGTCTACTATGTCTACTACTCGCACACACAACACAGCACATCAAAGGTCAAAAACACCGCGCACAAGAGAGACCATGTGAAACCAGTTCAACTTCAACTTCAACTTCAACTTCAACTCTAATCCGAATGCACTCCAATTTCGATTTCAGTATTCATTCGAGCTGCAGGTTCTTCTAATTCCTGGATAGCTCTTTTGTGGATTTGTGGCCGTGTTATGTGTTAATATGGCTGTGAAACAGGTCTGGGCTCGGCTTAGAATTGTTTGGCTGTCTAGACCCCAGGAATTAACGGCCATTTTGGTATTTAAGATAATGCTCTAACGCTTTGTTGGAAAATTTTAATTTATTTTCTGATTCTTTTATTTTTTTCCATGTTGTTTTCGTGCTGTAATCTGTGGCATTCATGGAATCTTTGATGGAATTTCGTTTCGTTTAAGCCCTGCCTCATTCTAAGCCTAATAGATTGCCAGCCAGCAGAGTGTAAAGAGCCCACCGCAGGCATCAATAGGCGTTAGTTTAATGGCAGCAATAGGCGCAAATGCAAATGTCAGGGCGCATCGTTAAAGCCATAGCTAATAGCTGGCTCATATATCAGGCCATGATCATATATCAAGCACTGCATAGACAAAGACAGCAAGCCAAGATGCTGGCCCGCCCAGTCCGAAATGCAACGCCTCTTTAGATGTTCGCTCTGTGTGATTT